TTCAATAATTCAATAACAAAACCACTATTGCTCCCCAAAGAAACACAACAACAGAAATAGCAAATGTACACAGTCAGCATGAAATCAAAATGTTGGTCTTGTAATTGATTCATAAGTGCATGTTATTCTAGATAAAAACAAATGCTTGCTTTTGTATATTTTCATCAAAATGGCATCACCCACAGTATAATTAATGTTAATTAAGAGTCAGAGTCATTTACACTCAAAAAATTAATCATGGCATAGTTTAAATATTTGCATTTTTGCATTTGATTTTAAATAATCATATTTTCAAAATGAATGTAAGCAAATCATAAATCGTGCAACATAAATTGTGAAAATTAAATTTAATCAATTTAAAAAAGTATGAACATTGTTAAAATATTGCTAGCTGTGAAGCAAGCAAGATTCAATTAGTTAAAAAATGAGACTGAAACAAACTGGATTTATTGCGCCACCATGGGCCACTCGAACCACAACGTTGACATCAGCAAACCGCTCACCCACACGACGCCATACACGCTGTCTGCCATCTGCCCTGTACAGTGAAAACCGGGATTCATCCGTGAAGAGAACACCTCTCCAAAGTGCCAGACGCCATCGAATGTGAACATTTGCCCACTCAAGTCGGTTACGACGACGAACTGCAGTCAGGGCCTTTCGTGTACATAGAAAAAATCTTAGATCTTTGAGTTCAGATCATGAAAAATGGGGGCAAAAACAAAAGTGTTGCATTTATAATTTTGTTCAGTGTACATAAACCAGTTTATTGTGCATTTAAAACAAATTGATTTTATTAATACATAAATCTAATTTTACTTGACTCCTTTCATTTATGTATGACTAACAAAAAGAGTTATTATTGTTAACTAAATTAAAAAGAAAAAGAAAATATAAAAAAATAAACTCATGTTATTTCAGCTAGTTCTCAAGAAATCATTTCTCATTTTCTATTACTTTAACTTGAAGTACTAAAATAAACAAAAACTGCAATAAAAATATGTAAAATTTGATTATAAAATGACAAAAACTATAAACATTTAAATGATATATAAAATAACAAAAACACAACAAAATTACTAAAACTTCAAAATGTAAAACATAAAAATAAAAACAATAATATGTAAATTACACTAATAAAACTGCTAACAAATATGCATTATATTAAGATTATTAGTCTGTTAAATACATAAATCTTAAATTTAGGGCCAAATATTGCTGGAATAACCGATTGCTAGAACAATCAAGTTATAGGCAAAAATCCATTCCGTTCAGTAATTTTCATGGGTCTGCACTGTTATTTATTTGTTTTATTATTATTATTATATTTTTTTTTGTAACAAAGGTCATCACTATTTTATTTAGAGGGTTATGTTTGTTTTCATTCAGTATCCATTTGAAAAAGTATCCATTTTAAAATATCCAGTCGACCTGTAGTTGTGATCACTGTTTTCATGTTGAATTAATACTTTAATTGATTTTCCTTAAAAAACAACCTCAATGTTCGTGAAACACGAAACCCTCCGTCACCGATTCCACAAAGCCACAAGCTTACGATACATATTTATGATTCTATACCTCTGGCCTTTGGAAGACAGATAAAGTCTTTTATCCAATTTTTATCCACTTTATTATGAATTCTTGCCCAAAGAGGATCTGCGCTGCAGCAGGTGGTGCTGTCAGATTCACTTTAGAGATCTGGAGGAGAGCGCATTGGCTTTTCAATGGCTCCGTAGGAAAGCAGCTGGTCCAGGAGACTTCTGGGAAAAAGAAGAAAAGAGCCGCATTCTTCCCTCGGACCGGCTATGAATACAAACCACTTGGATAGGCTTTTCAACGGCTGATGGTGTAGACATCAATGTATCTATCGAGCGGAACGGCAGGAATATTCACATATTATTCACATTTCATTGAACTATAATTCTGCATTTTATGAAGAAAAGATGCTGTGAGTGGTTGCTATGCAGTTGCTAGGGCATTATTGATGTCTTAGAGGATCAGGGAGGTCTTTAGCATGTTACTATGTGGTTGCTAAGGTGTTCTGGATGATTGCTAGGGTGTTAGCCCATCCTAGGTCTCTAGAAATGGCTTGGGTCCCACCTTCATGTGCATGTGATTTTTTTACACACCACATGAAAAATGCAATTCCATTCACTTAGAAAAACAGTATGTTATATATAAAAAAAAGTATTAACATTGTTAAAATTTAACTAGCTGTGAAGCAAGCAAGATTCAATTAGTTAAAAAATGAGATTGAAACAAACTGGATTTATTGATTATAAACACATAAACCAGTTTATTGTGCATTTAAAACAAATTGATTTTATTAATACTATTACATAAATCAAATTTTACTTGACTTTTTAAATTTATGTATGACTACCAAAAAGAGTTATTACTGTTAACTAATTAAAAATAAAATATAAAAAAATATATAATTTTTTAAATATTTAAAAATTAAATTAAATATTTCAGCTAGTTCTCAAGAAATCATTTCTCATTTTCTATTACTTTAACTTGAAGTAATAAACTAAAACTGCAATACAAATTATTTTATTATAATTATTATAGTTTATCATAGTTGCTTAGAAAAATAGCGTTATTATAGTTTACTAAAACTAAAAACATGAAAAATTAATTACTTGAAATAAAATAAATAAATAAAATAATGTTAACCAAAATAAAATCAAATACAAGAAAAAAACGTATTGCATTTCAGATGCCAAGTCAACATTTCTCATATTTATTTAAACTTGATCAACTAAAATAACTCTAAATAACTAACTAATAACTCTAAAAAAATAACTCTAAATAATAAAAAATATAAAATTCATAGACATATTTTGACAAAATAATAAAACATTATTTTAACTAAAATTAAAGTGAAACGGGAAATTTAAAAAAAATTATAATTCAAATATATTAGTGAAAACTGCAATAGTATCTCAAATAAAATTAAAAACATAAATAAAAAAAAAACTTAAATAACACTGCAGCTTAACTTAACAAGTCATATGATTTGAGGTACAATTCATGCACGTTAACAACTTGCACGCCAAAATTGAGCATTATTAAAGATGGAAAGTGTGAAAAACTGAAATAAAAAATTATACAATATTTTCACAAAATCACAAATTATTGGAAATCAGAAAACACATCTTTATGTATTCATAAAACTGTTGCTAGATTTTGTAGGTTATCAAGAGGTTTACTGACTGATGCAGATTTTAAAATGACCATTATATTAGGCTGCATTTACACTTGGCATTAACATGCGACCTGTATCCGGATGTTGTCCACATGCACATTGAAAAGACAAGTGTAAACGCGCTTCTGATCGGAATGTTATCCGATCAGGGTTTCCTTGGTCCAGAGGTAGTCGAGGACGCATTGTGATCGGATCTCAGTGTAATGTAAACCGTATTCCCTTGTCGACATCACGCAAAACGCAGCCCCCTCTCTCCCGATCTGTCGGAAGAACAGAGCGCTAGTGAGACTCATACATTTATTTTGATTTGTAAAATGCCCCGCGACTAAAAATAGTTTTCAAAAGAAAACCCACCACTTCAGGTCGACTTTGCACCGCAGACTTATTTAAATATTGCGCGGGAAATACAGATCCGATCAGTTATCCAGATCGAGAAGTCAGCTGATGTTGCCAAGTGTAAACGCGCCGTGTCCTGATTGACTGATGATCCGATCTGCTTGATCAGATCACGGTGATCGCATGTTAATGCCAAGTGTAAACCCAGCCTTAGTCTATCACTAATTCAGTTCCTAAACATAATATAATAAAATGCTGACTGAATTACAGGCTACAATCTGCAATCCTTAAAAATGAATTAAGCAATCGGCTGATTTGAATAACCAGCTAAAAGCATTAAGCCAAGTAAACCAAACAAAACCAAAAAACTGTAAAAGCCCTGCACACTGAAAACAAACGAAATGAAACTATGGGTGATCCGTTTCTCCACAACTCATGTGTCACGTCTGGATAGAGACTGATTGTGGATCGCCTCAGGAAACCAAAAATCAATTTAAGCGAGACTGACAGTGTTTACTGGCCCACCTCGAGGCATTTCTCAATACCAACGCCCACAGAACAGGAGCTCAGCACTTTTATAGGCCTTATCTTGATATTAAAACACCGTCAGGAGTCTGACTGTCAACAAACAGCCCTCAGGGCATCATGGAGAGCAGGGTGTGCCTCCAACCGCCTGTATACATTTCACAAACCAAAGAAACAAAGAGTCAGGTAACAGAAGGAGCCGCCGTCCATTTGTCCGCTGCTTTTCCTTCAGCTCGGGTTATATTTACCTGCTGAGCGGCTGGTAGATGCAAACAGGCAGGGATTTGGAGGAATTTCTTTTTCTTTTTCACTTACCCAACATGCCCGAGGAGCTTATGGCTCCCTTGGTGGCGATCAATGAGAGCATTTTCTCATTAGTGAACAAGACCGAGCTTTTCAACATCATTAGCATTCCCCAGAGAGCTTAAGTGACGAAACAGGAGGGCAAGTGAACACAAAAGAGACTAAACTTGAGGTGGAAAGCAGCAGGCGCTTTAGTATGTACTTGCTGGCCTGCTGAGGTACACAGCGAGATCAAAACACTTATGAAATGCAGGGTTTTTCCACACAATTAAACCTGAGCTGTGATCAAAATGGAAAATTAGCCTACTGTTTTTGCAAAAAATAATATGAATTAGTATGCATTATGCAATAAGCAAATTCAAACAATAGTATGCAACACTGTTGTTACATGACCTCAGTGTCCACTGCTAATGTAAATTTTAAAAAATCAAATGCAAAGCAATAAAACAAAATGCAACGCAATAAAAATAAAAATAAATTGTAATCAAATCCAATAAAACAAAATACAATGCAATCTAATAAAATGCAATGCAATGCAATTCAATGCATCAAAATGCAATGAAATGAAAAGCTATTCAATGCAATAAAATTAAATTAAATAAACATTAGAAAGCAAACAGTGCCTTACCGAGACCTCAAAGACTTCCTGAGTGTCATCCAACATCTGGACCCGGATGGAGACCTGTCTGCCGGGGGTCATGGTGGGAGGCCGCTGGCCGGGCTCCAGCGTGCTGATGCCCATGCTCTCGGGGGCCCCCAGCCTCTGGCCTGCCACCGAGGGCCGCTCCTCTGGCTCCACCATACTGCTCAAACCCACCTGACAACAGAAACCATTTAAATGTTTATATGAGGGCCAAACGTTTTGCAAACACTTCATTGATATGGAATAATCCACCCCTAAACACAGACTCCATGTATAACTACAGTACTTTTCTATTAAGCTGGTCTTAGTGATCGCACTAAACACTAGAGCCCGACCGATATATCATTTTGCCGATATTATCTGCCGATATGAGCCTGTCGCCGATATATCGGTATCGGCGAATATGCCGCCGATATGAACGTTTTTTTACAGAACATATAACGCAGATAAAATGCTTGAAATGGTGTAATTACTTAGTTTGTCCAGCAGAGCGCGCTCCATTGTTTGCTACTGGCGACCTGGATGAAACGCTTTAAAGCTTAAGTCTATGGAAAACCATTGAAACTTTGAACGGCCATATCTCCG